CCTCCACTGTAATTGAGGACCAGGCTCCAAGACTGCTGTAACAAAGTGTTTCCAGTCTTGAGGGATAATTCTAGAATAAGCTAACCACAAGTTTAACATCTGCTTCATAAAAGGTGAATGCATGCCATGTGAGACTATCCCTTCCTTGAATCTCCTTAAATCTAACATTTCCACAGGAGTCCATTCAGCTCTTACACAGCCTTGAAGATTTCTATCATTTGGCAATTCCTGTAAGGTCACTGGATAAATTAAGGGTGGCTGTTTCCTTTCTAACCTTATAATACAACACTGAGATTGTTTCTCTTTTAAATTCCTCTGTCTGGGTCTGAATATCTCTATGGTCTGTTTAAATAAGTTTTTCTAAAACTTGTATTTTAGTACTCATATTAACCAACTTTTTTAGTGATATAACAATAATGATAAAACCAATATTGTTTATAATTGACATTACATAAATCCCATCTAACTTATCCTCTCATTTAATTGCTCCATTTTCAAAACGTCCAGAGTATTATCATACAGAGAACTAACTCCCTCCATTGTAATAGTGTTTCCCATTTTTTAACATGGGGGAAAAAAAAAAAAAACCTCTCTTTTAACTAATTCCTCACTTTAAGAATTCCCAATTGTCTCACCAAATCTGCCAACAATGGCGATTCAGATAAAGGTGAAGTGTGAGGCAGACTGCTGCTGTACAGAGCAGTAAGAAGCCCGAGCAGATGCCAAGGCAGCTGCCTAGTTTGGCAGCAGCCAGAGGAGAAGGTCCAGGGAAAGCCCACAACCCACCGGGAAAGGGAACCCGCTGAAAACACACACAGGAGATCGTGGGGGAAGAAACTCATTTGGCGGGAGCTGCCTAAAGGCAGAGCTGGCTGGTGGTGAGGGGCTAACTCCGACAGCATATTGAGTCCACATGCCTGTGGAGTTTGTTGCAGAGAGGCTGCAACAAAAACCTCTCCTGTGGGGTGGTGACTCCGGCCGGGTGCAGCTCAGTGCGGGTGGCTGCAAAGCCACAGGCAGGTGGCTTTTTCATGAATTCATGCCCCCAGTGTTGGATGCCAGATATAGCTCGAATTCTAATTGGTCTTAATAATAAAAACCCGGAGTCAGATGTAAGGGTGAAAGCTCTAGGAATCCTCAGACTGAAAAGGGGGTGAGCCCTTGTCTCCTTCCACCTTACATTCCTCTCTTTGCCGAGCCATATCACTTCCTGTCTCCACCTCCCTAGCGCTGGGATCAAAAGTGTGAGCCTCCACTACCTGGCTCTGTTTCTCTTTTAGACTGAATCAATCTTGTGTAGCCCAGAGTGGCCTTGAACTCCTGATCTTCCTGCTTCCTTCCCTCAAGTGCTGGGATTAAAGGCGCGTGCCACCACCGCCTGGCTCTATGGCTAGCCCCGCCCTCTGATCTCCAGGCAAGCTTTATTTGTTAGAGCACCAAGTATCACCACACCACCTGGAAATGTTTTGCTCAGATTAAACCTGGATTTATTAATTTGGCCTGATCTGACTTACTGCATTGGTGGAGTTACTCACTACCAGGGGATTTTTACTTATCAGCAGGCAGACAGCAGGGAGGGGCCGTACCTAGGTAATAAAGATGCTAAACTTCCAAGATAGCTGACTGCTCCATTACCCTTTTGACCTGAGAAAAAGCATCCCAGTTTAAAACGAAGGCCTTGTGGGCGTTTTCTCTTGCTAGCAGGCCTCCTGCTGATGAACTGGCTCAGCAAGGTAGATGCTGGAATTGTGTTAAACAAGAGTTGATCAACCATCCTTTCTTTCTCTTCAAACTGACCAACTCTAAATTAGGGGAAGAAAACTCTTCAGAAACTTAAAAGCCTCAAGAAGACTGGATTTTCAGCTTCCCAAGGCCCCTCTGCATTCTGGAGGCTACTCTTCTCCGTGTGCCTGCTGCATGTGTCTCCCTAACACGCCTTTCTACAATGGTGGATTCTATCTGCTTCAGCTTGCCGTGGTCCAGATTTCTCTGCTGTACCTGTTGCATTCAAGATTTCCCCGCCCCCCCTCACCTTTTAATTCTTTAACTGGAAGAGAAAAAAGACCTGATCAAGACCCCTAGATGCTATCAATGGGATGTAGGGTGTAGTGACACATTGTTATAAAGCTATTTCTTGATCCCCAATAGACTGAACTTCTGGCAACCCTTACAGCAAAGTTAACACTACCCCATGATGTCATTTAAGACTATGCAGTTAGCCGGCGGCGGCGGTGGCGCACGCCTTTAATCCCAGCACTTGGGAAGCAGAGGCAGGGGGATCTTGTCGAGTTATAGAACAACCAAAGCTTCATAGAGAGACTTGTGTGAAACAAACAATAAACACAGAGTCAGGGTCTCTGTCAGGGACAGGCACAGTTTAAGCACAAACACACACACCAGACAGATTGCAGACAGATCGGAGACTGGACTGTGGACAGTTGGAAGAGGTACAAGGAGACGGAGAACTCAAACTTGGTCAATTAATCCAAGAGGCAGCTGCTGTGTTTTCATTCCTTAGTGAATTAATTCATATCAAATGCTCCACAGGTGCTTGCCCTGAGGAGCTTTCTACCAGGGTCCAGAACAGACACTACAAGCGGCTAGGATTCTAATCTGAGGGATATTCAATGAATCTTAGCACACCGAGTTCTTTAGTCCATTCCTTTATTCTTCTAAGTCAGTTCTATCTACAGAGCTTCTTTCCCGTTCTCACGGTCTCACACTCAGCTCCTCTCTGTCCCTTCTTCCGCTGTTCTCTCATTGTTCTAAACTTAGGTCTTCCTCATCTCCGTCCTCATCTCTGTTCTTCTAAATCAATTCCCCAGGAGCTGTGGGGGAACCGGTATATATATACACAAGCAGTAATTCTTTTGCCCAGCACTGCGAGGTTTGAAGTTTTCAGGGTGGCAGAGAGAATGATAAGGATCCGCACATAAGGCAATAAATGTCAGCCTCCAATTACAACCCAAAGGGGGAGTGATTAAAGGGGAATTCTCTGGTAAGGTCAACTAAAGGCTAAGATCAGTTAGGGAACTCTAAAAAGGAATTTGTGTGCTCAAACTATAGTCTAGAAGTGGTTAGGTAAAATGTTAGGAGTCTATATATGTCAGTATAAGTCACTAGTAAAGTAAAACTGTCTTTTATTGTTAGGCGCTGCTTTCTGGTTGGGCGGGGGAACGTATGCTTGGTTGCTAGGCAACCTACGTCATAGCATGTAGCATTAGGTTAGTAAAAGCACTTTCGCTCTGAGTAGTTGCTAAGAAGGGAATCTGGGAATAGCGCCAGGCTGAGATAAAAGGAGAGGATAAAACCTTAATTTGCACAAGAAACGAAGCTTGGCACCTATCTATTGCCTGCCTGGCCTTGTCGGCAATCTCCTGGGGTCAGTGGGAAGTAACTACCTTAACTCAGTAACTAGCAGATGGCTAAAACATCATCCCAGAAGTGTGAGCAGTAAAACTCTTAAATTAGGGTCTTGTTTAAATAACCTGGGAGGAAGGTAAAGAGTTGAGGATTTAATTGTTGGTGGTTATTTTCTCTATCTGTAAGTGAGATGAGATAACTCTTATCTATACTTTTGTTCGGAGAGTGACTCTGGCCAGAGGTTTGCTAATGAAGAGTAAACACAGCTGGGAAAAGTCATCCAATTACCCCAAATGTATAGGGTAAGTTGTGCCCAATTAATGATCAATCACACTGGAAGAGTCGAATGGGGAAACTATTATAGCACACAAGAAATTCATTGCAGGATACAGCTAATACATTCAAAAGCCAATATCACCAAGACTCCTTAAGTCTTGGTTTTCCTCTGGAAAAGTTTGTAACTTTTTCCAGGTAATAGCTTTGCCAGTATCAGCGGAATTCCTACTTCATATCTTTGCGGCTTCTGGCAGATCCACACAGTGGGATACTAGGGATCCAGAGCAGTACCCAGCGTAATGATAAATAAAAGAGAAAGGCGAAGTGGGTACCTTTCGGCAGGCCCTGCCAAGGTATGCCGCTAAGCAAACAGGCCAGGGTTGACTGAGTTAGTGCAAGAGGTTCATTGGGGGAGGGGAAGAGTGAAAGTGGGGACCTGAGAGAGGCAGGCAGGCAGAGAATAGGGAAGAGGAACAAGAGACAAGAAAGGCAAGAGAGAGGGGTAAGACAGGAAAGAAGGGAGACAAGAAAGCGAGCTGTGCTCTGGGGGGCACTTTTCGGGGGTGCACGGGTTGAACTGATGGTGGAAAGCATCTGATAACAACCGACGACGTAACTTCTTCGGTGGCAGAGGCAGACCTCCGCTGTGGCCGAAACCAACACCCAGGGTCTAAACGGTCAGGCATGCTTGATGTCTTGCCCAGATCGCAGGGACCCCCAAAAGACCACCACAGAGACCGAATCCCGTATGTAAAAGCAAAGAGCCTTTATTTCAAGGTTGGAGCTTGGTCTCTTGGTCTGTCTGTCTGTCTGTCTGACGCAGAGGTGAGAGCAAAGAGCCCCGAGCCCGGGCGGGGTAGGGTTTTTTCCTTTCTTTCTCTCTTTTTTTTTTTTTTTTTAATCATAGCAGAGGTTGAGGTGAGGGGATTTCCAGGGTTCAGGACCCTGACTGGGGATCTGGGTGTCGCCTGGCAGTAAGCCTGTCACAGCAGCTGTGTCTGGGCCCCTAAGCCTGTTATGGCAGCTGTGTGGTCAAGCTGTTTTGGGCCCCCCACACTTGAGACACCCCAATTCCTCCAGCAGCCAACATTGCTCCTACCTTTTAAAGTCTGAAGCCCCTTCCAGCCCAGACTTTACTTCGCATGTAGCAGCTTGTCAGGTCCCAGAGGAACCGGGCCAGGGCTCACTCCGCACCCTTGGCCCCTCCCAGCCCTGCTCACCCCGCCCCCTGCCCTACACCGCCCCAGCCCAGGGGCGGGGCTTCGTTGCCCTGCCCCCAGCTTCCCATTCCTATATAAATCTGCCATCTTGGCCATGCCGTTCTCTTGGTCCTTGGCTTGTCTTGGTCTTCTGCTCTCGGCTCCTGGTCCCCGTTCTTGTCCCTCTCAGTGTCTGTCACTCCCCCCACCTCCTCTCATGACTCAGTTCAGCCTGGATTCTTCTCTACACCTCTGGCTGTTCTCTCCCGCATATCTACAATAAAATCCTTCTCAACCACACCTTGGGGCTGTCACGTCTTCGTTTTCACCCATCATTTCGATTGAGCCTCTGCCGTCTGGACGGGTGCAGATAGCAAGAAGTCCATGCCTCGGTGGCCACAAGGTGGCTGTCTGCCCTTTCCTTCTGAGGGATCTAAAGACCTGGACAGTTTGGTCCTGGACTGGATCCCTGTGACTAGATCCTTTCCTAGCTTGCTCACATTTCCAGCCATGCCAGCTCTCTTCTAAGTGGGTGGAGTGACATGTGTTTGGCCCTCTGTGGGAAGGACTTCAACAGAGACACCAGTGTCTGTCCCACTACCCCATCCCCAAACTCCTTTACAGAGGATTCACGGTCACTGAGCTTTATTTGAAAGTAGAAAGGCCTTGCCGGTCCCCAGCCCCAGTGCCCCAGGGATGGGTGGAGGAACACTGACAGCAGGAGCCAGGCTTCCCCACCGCCATCTCCCCACCACCACCACTGCTGAAAAGCTAGAAGGGACAGGCTCACAGGCCCAGGACAGTCCTTGCAGCATTTTCAAGGTTGAGGCAGGAGGGCAAGTTCAGGGCTAGCCTGTGCTACTGATGAGACCCTGTCTCCAAACAACCATTAATTAAAAAAAAAAAAAAAAGGGAAGATCCACAGGTGTTCAGCTTGTACTAAAGCTCTTCTCTTGAGACCTGGTTCTCCTGTGAGCAAGACCCCTGAGTACCCTCACACAGCAATGCCTCCAGAGTCTCGTGACCTTGGCGGTAGGCTTCGTAGATCTGGTCTTCTCCAAAATCTCCCAGGTACTGGAAACATGTCATGGAGAGCCTAAGGGAGCATTAGGCACCTTGAACCCTAACCTACTACCCACAGGGAAGTTGGGGGGCAATCCAGGACTCCGGGGAGTCCTTTCCCCCACCCTGTCATTACCTGTTGGGCCAGGGACCCCCAGTAATCATCACGCTGATGCTTGGCTCTGTCCCCTTGCTAAGTCCTGGGCCCATGAGACGTTTCATCCGGTTCACTTCTTGGACTCCATAGCTGAGAGGGGTGGGAAGCAAGGGGTATAGGATCCATGGGGGCCTGGCCAGGGAGGGACTTGCTGCTAGTCTAAGTATACTGGGCATTTGCTGAGCTCAGACAGGGTTAAATCCAAGGCCCAAGAGCTCACAGTCACCTTCCTGTGCTCATCGGCTCTCCTACTTGTTCCCAAGAGCAGGTCTAGCCCAGATTCCAGCCCAGCCAACCTCCTCCCTCAGGCCAGAGCCTCTGTGGAATGGGCATGTGGTGTCAGTGGGGGGTGGAGGTCTGTACCCACCAGCCTTCCCCCCTAAGGAAGTGGCAGGGGCCTGGGTTGGCAACTCACGACTGCCAGTTCTGAGAGCAGGTCCGGTCCAGGACATCCGTGTAAATCGACTCACTCAGCTCCTGCAGTCCACTGGAGTCTGGAGCATGAGATTTAGCCTCTGCTTTTGCCAGATGTTGCCCCATCTGGAATGAGGAGGTGTTGAGAGCCAGGACTTTGGGAACTGCTGTCAATTATGGGAACGGGAAAGGACAGACACCCAAGTCTCTGGGGAGGATGAGGTGGCAAAGGAGCTGTTGAGAGGAAACACCTGTGAGCAGGCCCCCCTTCTAGGCCCCAAAGCTGGGCTGGGCCAGTTCAGGCAGCAGCTACTTTCCTGGGGACAGGGGAGGAAATGCTGTGTGAAAGACCTGGTCCCTCTTTTAGAGCACACTTGCCCAGTAGCATATGCTATTTTTATTTATTTATTTATTTATTTATTTATCTATCTATCTATCTATCTATTTATTTTGGTTTTTCAAGACTGTTTTTCTGTGTAGCTTTGCGCCTTTCCTGGAACTCACTCTGTAGCCCAGGTTGGCCTCAAACTCACAAAGATCCTCCTGCCTCTGCCTCCCAAGTGCTGGGATTAAAGGCGTGTGCCACAACTGCCCTGGCTGCATATGCTATTTTTAAACCACGAGAACAAGGAAAGCCAAAAATAATGAAAATAATAATAAACAAATAAAATAACCAGAGCCCAGTCTTTAATAACATATGTATTCACCTGCCTTGTGTACACACAGAAACGCGGTCACACAGGCATGCTTGAGAGGGTGGAGTATGGTGGGTTCACATAGATACACATGTACCCAACATGCATGAAGTAAAAACACCTTAAGGGCCTGGGGAGAGTGTTGAGACAAAAAAAGCGTACAGACTAGGAATCTAAGAGGGTGAATGATTCCCTGGGGTGACAAGATAAGATTTGGGCACCTCAGATCGTCTGCTCTTAGGCAAATATGTAAACTGAGGCATGGTAATTCAAGTGAAGGGGGCTGGTAATGTCATGGGGAGCTTGCTGCTCGGGGACTGAGGATTAGGGATTAAAGGCTTGGATGAAGCGGTCTGAGCAAGGACTGCTGGGGACAGGCGGAACTTACTTGGTAGGCCACAGCCCGGCAGGCATCACAGCGCAGGTGAGCAGGTATGTAAGATGCGAACTTCTCTTCATCATCCAACACTGGAGCCGTAGCTGAGAGAAAAGGCTTATCCGCAAGGCTTCCCAGGATAGCCTTGCCCCCAAACAGTAGCAGCAATGGCAGGGGCAGCCTCATGGCCTCTGAAGTTACTTCATGGAGCATGCACTGTGGTTGGGGTGCAGATGTGCATTCGAATTATCTGTGGTTTCGGCCAATAGGGAACTGACACCTCACTGGTCCTCTTCCCTTCCCCCATGGCCCTGGAGATGCCACGTCTGCAGTTTCCACAGCGGGACCCTGGCTCCAGCCGCCTGAGCTCTGTTTCACAGATAGGGGATGAAGATGGGAAGAGTCGTTCTGAGGCTGGGTAAAGACACGGGGGGGCTGACGCATCTCACGTCCTGTGACCTGATCAAGTGACAGGGACTGTGCTGAAGAACATCCTGTGGGGTGAGGTGGTTGGTTACAGTCATCTTAACTCTACTGCCTAGAATGTGAAAGCTCAGAGAGAAGAGACAAATCCTCCTGCTAGAGGAGACATGTCGAGAGTAGTCCCCAGCGCCTGTTGGTCACTCAGCCACCAGGAGGAATGCGGCCATGGTTGCGGTTGCCAGCCTAGAGCTCTCACTACAGTGAGGCAAATTCATTGAGTCTCGGCGACCACAGTATGTGAGAGCATACATGGTCTCTTTCTCCAACCCTAGGGTCCCCTTCTCTCAGTAGAGCCAGGCATGGAAGGGCTTCATGGGGGTTGTTTATGAGGCAGCAAGCTAGCTGGGCGGCGTGGTAATGCACGTCTTTAGTCCCAGCACTCGGCGGGCAGAGGCAGGTGGATCTCTGAGTTCGAGGCCAGCCTGGTCTACAGAGTGAGTTCCAGGACAGCCAGGGCTACAGAGAGAAACTATCTCAAAAAAGAGGAGGAGGAGGAGGAGGAGGAGGAGGAGGAGGAGGAGGAGGAGGAGGAGGAGGAGGAGGAAGATGCAGCAAGCTGAAACAAAGCTCAGAAGTTAAGAGCAAATGCTCCTTTTGCTGAGGACCTGGGTTCAGTTCCCATCAATCACATGGTGGTTCACAACCATCTGTAACTCCAGTTCCAGGGCGTTCAATGCCCTCTTCTGGCCTTCATGGGCCTCAGGCATGCATGTGGTGCACATACATACATGCAGGCGAATACTCATAAAATAAAAATACATATTTTAAGGGTTATTTATTTATATGACTTTTTTGAGACAGCCCTGGCTGTCCTGGAACTTGCTCTGTAGATCAAGCTAGTCTTGAACTCAAAGAAATCCACCTGCCTCTGCCTCCCAAGTACTAGGATTTAAGGTAGGTATCACCATTCCAGGAAAAAGTGGTTTTTTTTGTTTGTTTTGTTTCATTTGTTGTCAAAGGGTGGCAGCAGGAAATAAGGACCATACACTCGTTGTTATTTCTGTCACCATGGCTCCCATGGTCAGCCATTTATTGCGCACCAGGACAAGAGGACCCACTCCAGGGTGGCCCTGGTCTCTCTAAGCCATTGGGATCAACGTCTGTGGGAGAGGTGTCCCAGTCATTCTGACTCAGTGTTTTAACCGATTTCCAGTCCAGGGCAAGGCTAGTAGAGGACCCTACGGATCTTGGCTGCACAGCCTTGGAACCAGAGAGCTATCAATTGTCACCCTTGACCCTGCTTCTAGTGGGGACTGTCCTTCCCCAGCCACCCCTCCAGCAAGGTCCAGTCATTTCAGGCTCAAATCTACAGAAATCACTTCCCACCTCACAGAGGTTGTACTCTATCCCTCCGTTTACCTCAAGCTCAGGGCAGGTGGAGTATGGGTTTGGGGTCTTCCCTGCACTGTGAATGGCCTGAAGGACCAGTCCCTGTGTGGACATTGTTCCCTCTGCATGGAGAATGGAATCAGCTAAAGTGTCAGGGCCCTTGGCTTACTTCATATGGGAACATCCTTCCTCTCCATATGGGAACATCCTTCCTCTCCATATGGGAACATCCTTCCTCTCCATATGGGAACATCCTTCCTCTCCATATGGGAGCATCCTTCCTCTCCATATGGGAGCATCCTTCCTCTCCATATGGGAGCATCCTTCCTCTCCATATGGGAACATCCTTCCTCTCCATATGGGATCGATCATCTTTCCTCCTGCCAGTCCCCCCAGGTCTTTTGAGAGAGGGTTTCTCTGCATATAGCTCTGGCTGTTCTGGAACTCACTTTTGTAGACCAGGCTGGCTTCGAACTCATAGAGATCTGCCTGCCCCTGCCTCCCGAGTGCTGAGATAAAGGTGTGCACCCCCACACCTGGTTTTCTCTTGCCAGCTCTAACCCACCTTCCAGCCACCGAGAGCACACCCCCTTTGATGACACCCCAGCCTTCCCTTCCTCCCTCTTGTCATCCTGGGGATTCAACTCACTTGCTCTCTACCTGGGTGGAATACCTTCAAGGTGAGCTAGCTCAGCTCCCTCCGGGGTCTACAGAAGACAGACACTGGGGCTTGAGGAGGAGCTAGGCTCCATGCTGTGGACTGTTAGCTGTGGTCACACCATTTTGTAAAGCCCCTCCATTTTGGTTAAACAACCACAATTCCCAAAACTAAAGTGATTCGTTTTTCTGGATTTCCCTGCCCTGTCAATCTTTAGTGACGGCCGGCCAAGAGAAGTATTTACTGATCCCTTGACATTCTTTAATTCGCCACTTGTCCCTAGTCACCCCCAACAACCAACAGAGAGCCCGAAGAAGAAGAATTGCACTCCTCTTCCTCATTTCCTAGACCCTTCTGCAGGCCTTTCTGCCAATGAATGGTTTCTCCCTTTGGCTGTCTCTACAGGGACCACAGCAATCCTGGGCCATCTCACGCTGTCCTCTCACCTCCAATTCCAAGCCTACCCTCCACATCTCCTTATACAACATCCATGCTCTGCCTCCACTTACTCTCCTCATGGCTTCCATTCTCCGCCCCAAGCTGGCCTGGGCCCACACTGCGGTCTCCCACAACCTCCCAGGACAAGGCTCAGATCCCGATTTGATGGCTGTCATCCACCCCCTCCATCTCTGCAACACCCACTGTCCTGCTCCACTCAGCTGGGCCCAGTGTTAGGGAGATACCAACAGCTCACCACCACCACAGGCGGCCCTGGCCCTGCTACTCCCACACCTGCTATTCTGGGAAACCCCAACATCTCTTAGTGGTCTCACTTTGACACACTTGCTTGCCTGCATACACACATACAGCACACCCTGGGAAGGTTTGGGGAAGGGATACATATTTTTGTTGGCGGGGGACATAGGCAGCCCAACATTAGCTAATGATGTTCAGCACTATCAGACCAGGTAGCAGATATGGTCTCTTAAGGTCACTTCCGGTCTGGTCACTGGCTGGAACTAGCCAAAGAGTTGATAGAAGGAAAAATTAAGAGACTGGGAATCAGAACTTCCAAAGCCTTCTAGGGAACACAACTTCATGGGGATCGGGACCTTAGGCTTCACAAAGGAAACACGGAACCCTTGCTGGACTGGATGGGACCGGAATTGGAGGGCGGGGCACAGAAGAGCATCGGTGGAGCCGGACTGGGGGTCCCGCTCAGGGGCATGTAGTACATCCCCTCCAGGGGCCCAGTCTCAGGGGCCCAGGGTAGCTGGAGACTGCCGAGGGCCGGCAGGTTGGGGGACGGGGGCGACAGTGGTGAGCCAGGGATTGGCCCATAGGCCGGCGGGTAGAGGCCGGGCCCTAGGGCCAGCGGGGCATAGGCCGGTCGTGGCGGCCGGGAGAGAGAGGGCGAGGGCGGCAGCAGCACTTCCACGTACTGCCCGCTCTCGGGATCGAAGAGTAGCCGCAGCCTCGGCTGCCGCGGAGCCTCCACAAAGTAACAGCGACCGCTCTCCGGGTCTACGAGGACCTTCCCCGGCGGCGCGGTTCCTGGAAGCCTCCGCATGCCCTGGGAGGATGCAGGAGGGAGCCGGTCCGTGGGAGGCGCAGAGGCAGCCCGCGGGAGCCGTGCAGCGGTCCTGGCCGCCGTCGCCTGAGGCTCCCGCGGGAGGGGCGCCTGGACCGCAGCTGCAGGAGCCACAAGGGGTGTCTCCAACTCGGGTGCCGCCCCAAGGCTCGATCTGGGACATGCCTGCGGGGAGCCGGGGCGAGGAGGTCGGGTCTCTGCTGACCCTAAAGGAGACCTCTGGGTTGAGGTACGAGCGCCTCCTAAGGGGCTGGTCCGACCCTCGTGGTCCGGGACCAGGCGCTGGGCCTCAGCATCTCGGTCTTCTCCCCCAGCACGGCGTCCTTGGACACCCGGGGTGATCTCCCGACGACGGCTCAAGGCTAGAGCGCCAGGCAAGCGGATCTCACTGCGCGCGAAAGGCTTCGCGGTGCTGTTCTCTGCCCTCCGCCTCGGGACCCCGCTGGAGTGGGAGACATCCTTAGAGGTTGCGTGGAGTGAAGGCTCTGGAGACTCGTAAGGATGAGGTACTACCGGCAGAAAGTCCTTGAGAAAGATGGAAGTGTAATGAGCCGGCGCGGGCGACTCCAGCGCCGGGAGCTCGTGCGCTTTGGATGCATCGCCCTCCTCCCCGCAGGCGTCAGCAGGAGGCGCGGGAAGCCCGGAGCCCGGGGTTCCCGCAGCGAAGCTTGGCGCGTAAGTGGTCTTAACCATCTTGCGCACGTCTCGCGGCCGCGGAATGGTCACGCGCGGACGCCCGGAAGCCGCTTCTCCCGAGGCCAAGGCTTCTGGGCACACATCGTCGTCCAGGATGCTTGTGAGATGACTTCCGGGCGGTTCCAGAGTATCTATACCTGGAGACGGCTGCCTGCCTCTGAAGGCAATATCCTCATTTTCCAGTGTGAGCAGACACTGCGCCTCTGTGAGTTCTGGGGTCCCGGGTGCTGATGGTGTAGGCGGCTCCAGCTCCTGAGTTACACCATTCATAGCTTCCTGACACAATGCCGTGGATGAGCCCTGCACACTAGGACCCCATGTCTCTCGGGGCGATGGGCTGTTCGTTTCAATAGGATGATCAGGTGGCTCTCGTGGGAGCAGGGCTGGCAGAGATCTGTCCCTACTCAGCCCTGTTGCATCTCCGTCTATCGAATGCCGAACCCTCCACTGAGAAGGAGTTTCGGGACACGGATTCCCAACTCTAGCGACACCCTGAGTCCATTGGGAAAGAGGTGGAGGGGAAGGGCTCCTTCTGCTGACGACTTCCTCCCCGACGGCCGCATCCCGCTTTTCCCACTCAGATGATGTTTCAGGGAAGGACAGGTTATTCATTCTCCAAACAGTCCTGTGAGGTTGTGACCGGTTCTGGGGGGACGGGCAGCGAGGACCCCGCCCCGCCCCGTTTGGAGCCTGCCGCGGAGGGGATGGGCTCGTAGGCCTCACAACCCTACTGGGAACCACCCGGGAGCTTCTAGAATGGAAGGGAGGACTCCGTG